ACTAAGAAGGGCATCCAAGGACCCTTCCCCAAACACAACCTTATGCCCAGGTGGCCTTGCTAGGCTCACCTTAGGAGAGAAATAACTAGTAACCATATGGGGAGGTAAGTGTTCTCAACATTATATAAAAACTTAAAAATATATAGAAAATGCACTCCAGAAAGTTGAGGGTAGACAATTTTAAGTTATCTTAAAATAACTTACCAGATATTTATCTGTCTAAATACCCTTAATTTCTTCTCCCCCCAATCACACACTTCATTTTGTTTAATGGCTGTATCAAAGTTTACGCTGGAGTTAAATCCTAATGTATTTAACCAATTCCCTATTGACGAATATTCAGAGTAGCTTATGCTTTGTAGAAACTTGTCACCGCAGGCAGAGGGGCAGGGAGAGGGGAACTGTTAAAGCAGAGGGGAAAGGCAGCGGACGGGGAGGCTAACGAGTAAGGTTCCTGTGGTGAGCGAAGTTTGTCCCAACTTCGGGGCCTCTGCACTTGCTGTTGTCTCTGCCCCGTATGCTCCCCCCATGCTTTCTGGAAGCTTGCTGGTCTCCATCCTTCCGCTCTCGGCTCAAATGCTACTTCCTCGAAGAAGATGACCATTCTAGCTACAGTGAACTCTTCTATCTCTTCATATCACTCTATTTCGTCTATGATCCTGATCTCGATCTGTAATTATTATTTCTTTCTTTCTTTATCACATTCCTCCCCCCACTCCTTAGAGTGCTATCTTCGGGAGGGCAGGGAGGGACCGTGTCTGCCTTACGCATCCATATCCCCAGCCCTGGGCCTGAAACACAATAAGAATTCAACACGTGTTTGGGAAATGAATAGATGGTTCCCGGGGCGGTGTGCGGGGACCAGTTGGGGTGTCTAGGCCCTCTGCACAAGGTCTCTGAAGAGTCAGAGGTGGGTTTGAGAGTCCTCGATCTGCGCCCAGCAAGCTCCTCCGAGTTGACTGGGGCCCAAAGCCAGCTCTGCGGATTGGCGCGCTCAGTGATGCGGCACAGATTGCCCCTCTGTGCAGCGTCTCCCCAGCTATCTGTGGACCCAACCGACCGGGTCCAGGAAGGGCAGCGGAGGCCTTGACGTGCTTGGAATCCCCCTCTGACCCCGCATGGTCTGGCAAGGCACAGGGGCGATGCCAGACCCCGCGGCGCACCTGCCCTTCTTCTACGGCAGCATCTCGCGCGCTGAGGCCGAGGAGCACCTGAAGCTGGCGGGCATGGCCGACGGGCTCTTCCTGCTGCGCCAGTGCCTGCGCTCGCTGGGCGGCTACGTGCTGTCGCTGGTGCACGACGTGCGCTTCCACCACTTCCCCGTCGAGCGCCAGCTCAACGGCACCTACGCCATCACCGGCGGGAAGGCACACTGTGGCCCCGCCAAGCTCTGCGAGTTCCACTCGCGCGACCCCGACGGGCTGCCGTGCAACCTGCGCAAGCCGTGCAACCGGCCGGCCTGGAGCCGCAGCCCGGGGTCTTCGACGGCCTGTGCGACGCCATGGTGCGCGACTACGTGCGCCAGACGTGGAAGCTGGAGGTGAGGCGGTCCGGCCGCGGCCGTGGGGGCTGCGGAGTTTGGGGGTCTGGGGGAGAGGGAGGCGGCGTCTTCGCTAGCTGGAGCGGTTTGGAAGATGGAGAGGTGGGATCCTAGTTGGGGGCGGGACCTGGGAGGAGCCACAGGAGCAGGGGCTCCGTGGTGGCTGCAGATGGTGCGCGACTCTGCGGGACCGGAGGGGGGAGGCGTGCGCTGTGCCAGGACTGGGCGAGGCTCCGGCTTGGGGCGGGGCCTGAGAGGATGGTGCTTGGGGTGGCAGTGCGCCCTTGGAGGGCGGCCCACGGGGACGGTGGGCTGCCGTGTTCTGCAGCTTCAAGCTGGGGCTGTGCTTGGGGCCGGGCTAAAAGGTGGAGACTGGGGTCTGGTCTCTCCTTGGATGGATTGGGGAGGGGACCATGGAGATGGCGGAGGCTGTCCTAGGGGCGCCTGGGTGGGGTGGGAGGTCTCATGGGACGGGATGAGCGGGAGGGTCTAGGAGGTGAAAGGGGGTTCCCGTGGCCGCCCTCTTGGCCGCACGTGCAATCCTCCTCACCCCTCCTCCCCTAGGAGGACGCCCTGGAGCAGGCCATCATCAGTCAGGCAACCCCAGGTGGAGAAGCTCATTGCCACGACGGCCCACGAGCGGATGCCCTGGTACCACAGCAGCCTGACGCGCGAGGAGGCCGAGCGTAAGCTCTACTCGGGGACGCAGACTGACGGCAAGTTCCTGTATGTGCGGCCTGGGGGCTGGGGCAGACCTGAGTGCGCAGCTGGGCCTTGAGGGATGTGTTTGTGCTCGCACGTGCAAGTGGGTGGTGCGTTTCTGATGCGCGAAGGGACTTTTATATGGGAAAGCAGCGGCAGTGACTAGGAAGCCTCCAGAGCTGCCAGCCTGGGTTGGAATCCAACCTCAGCCACCTACCGGCTGTAGATATTGAGCAAGGAGCTGAACTTCTGCCTGCCTCAATTTCCTCTTCTTCGTTCAGTGTTTACCGAATACCTAATCTGCACCAGGCACCGAGGACATGGCAGTGAGCCAGACAGACACAGGTGCAGGTCCTGTGGGGAGGCAGACAAAACATAGACTGTGTCAGATGGTGGTAAGCACCACATGTGTGTAGGTGGGGAGGGGTTGCAATTTTAGATTAGGGGGCGGAGGAAGCCTTCCTGAGAAGGTGACTTTGGGGTAAAGAACAGAAGGAGGTGAGAGGTGAGCTGTGAAGCTCTCAGGTGGAAGGGTGTTGCTGGCAAATGGGATGGCGAGTGCAAAGGTCAGGAGGCAGGGATCTATTTGGCATGTTGGAGAGACATTGAGGAGGTCAGTGTGCCTGGAGACGAGTGAGAGGGAGGGTGGGGAGGTGACTTTGGCTTTGACCCTGAGTGAAGTGGAGCCCTGGAAGGGTGTGGAAGCAACTGCAGCTGTCCTGGAGATGACAGCAGTGCCTGCCTCAAGCGTCTGTTATAAGGACTGCATGAATTAATACGTGTAAAGCAATAGTACGGTTTCTGGCATATATGAAAAATGCACTAAATGTTAGCTCTTATTATATGTGGGTGAAAGTGTGTGTCTGCATGTGTGAGCCGCAGCTGAGGCCATGTGGCTGTTAGTGAGTTTGTTATTGTGAAAGCATCTCTAAAGCTGTTTTAAAAACTGTGCTGGGTGTTTGAAAGCCCTCCTGGGGCTGCTGCTGGGGTTTGGACACAGGTTCTTTTGTATAATGGATGTTATCCAGATGTCAGCCGAGGTCACTCAGGCCTGGAGATAGGGAGAACTTGGTGCTTGCCTCTCTCCCCTGACCTCAGGAAGTCCAGTGTTCTCCCCGAGAAGTCTGTGGGTGCAATTCCAGGGGCCTCCTTTCTCGTGGGTGCTTCTTGGCCTGAGTCCCTGCCTGGCTGAATCCTCGCTGTCACCCCCCTTCCCAAAAGCTGTTCCCTCCCCTGGGGCCAACTCACTTGTAGGAAGCCACCCTTTCCTTGGTTTCCCCCATGCATGAGAGGTCTGTGCAGATTGCTTGCAG